CTTGGAGTCTCTTAACAAGAAAATTAGGCTCAGAAGTTTATTTAGCTCATGGCAGAGGTAGCCGCGCACATTCAAGAAACTGAACCAAGATCTTCAACATTTTTTTAGGTCCTGCTAATAATACGGGTTAGGAAATCACACTGCTTCCACTTCAGCTAATTAATGTACCCGGTGGAATATTCTTCCTAGTGGACCGTAATTTATAATATGCCGAAGTAAAGGGGAGTCAAAAGGGTCAAGTCATTCGGTGAAGCGGCTACATACTTTTTCTTAACATTCGGAGGCCTTGCTCTACACCAAAGATGGAGATTCGGACCCAGGTAAGTATCTCGACGAGTCAAACTCGATGCATTAAAAAAAGCTATTAAAAACATACGCCCAATAATCCCCTGTGTTCTATCCCGATTAAAAATATAATATCTCCATGTATGTCAGATAACACGCCGAGTAGTAACATAAATGACTACGGGGTGGTCTGTAATTCAGTGACACTTTTTTAACTCCTAAGAGAACCCACATTCTCATAACGCTGTGGGGGTTTTCTTTCAGAAGATCCTCCAATCAGTCCAAAAATCGCACTTCAGTTGCTAACTGGAAATGCGGCTACTCATTGAAAGGGTGCTCGTCGACATATTGAATTATATCTCGGCGGTTATATCCGAACTCTCCCACCGCGGGTATCGATCCAAGAACCCCTCGATCCCAGATTTAGTGCAATCCCATTTGACCACTGAAGGCAGTCCGTTAATATTAGAAGAGATGCGTAATCTAACATAAGTCTTAAAGGGGGGAAGGCCTCCCAAGGAGTATGCTTAAGTTGTAATTACAGCTATGACGGGTTCGCTCTAGAAATACATGGAAGTCTATTCTCTCTTATAATTCAGTGCAACTTGTCCTGAGCACCGGGTTCGGGGTCTCTTCTCTACCTTAATGCAAATTTCAATAAGTATTAATAATTAAGGTTTACATTTGATGCATATATTAATGGGTATGTATGCAGTTTAATCTTGATACGATGCTCAGCCATCACAATAAGGGTTCACATTACACCATCTTTGCTTATAAAAGTCATCTCGGACATATTTTCTATATAGTATAACTAACTCGCTTTGACGCCAACCCCGTGAAGACTTCAAACATTAATGATATGGACGCGATCTCTATTGAAAGCCAATATATATTATCGATCAAAACACTATTACGGTTGAACGCAAGTTTATTTACAATCAACAAAAGAGCAGATTATAAATTCTTTCCTTCCATGTGGTGGTAATAGACGTGCCGACAAAGCAATCGTCCCAAATGATTCGATGACTCCAACTTTCGTGGCTACAACTTGAGTGCTTAAAACTCCCGCGGTTATCTAGGCCCCTCTGAAGGCCTTTCCCAGCGCTTTCAGGTAGGATACTAAATCCAAATCGTCGGAATGTATGCCCTCCCTTCGGGTTCATCGACAATTTTGGATCGCGCATATGCCGCATGAAGAGCAAAAAAATTTAAAAAATTGAATTGTCAGGCTTTTGATGGCAGCAGCGGGAGAAAGACTCCTGAATTTTGATCAACAGAAGATACATACGTCCGTGCAACCGTTTGTCTTAGCCATAGATGTACTTCGCATGAGATTGTTGAACAGGCAAATGAATATTAATTTTGGCTGGGTTCGACCAACGAGTGCTATGAATTCCAAATTAATTTTAACGTTTTTCACTCTGTAACCAGTTCGGTTTTGGTGGTACAGTGAATTCGAAAAATTATAGATCCAGGATCTTCACGAGGAAGGGACAAAGAGCCACACTCATGGAAGGGGGTGGCCGAGTAAAAATTGGGGCATCAAAGTGGTTGGGCTTTCATGGTCAAAAAGCCCGCAGGACTAATCAAGGAAATACCGCTTTTAAGGTACCCGCTAAGGGTCACTGACGGAAGACGAACGTGGTCCCTCATCGGTCGCCTCGGACCTTCATCTTTAGACCCGGGTCTCTCATTGAACCCCGTTTCCTTGTCGGTAGGCCTGGGTCCCTAACTGGTGGACCCGGTCCCTAACAGGTTGACTGGGGTCAATCACTGGTATTTTCGGTCTCTCAAGTTCCGGATACTCCTGACCAGTCACATCAAGTCAGTGCACCGGACCAAGGATATAGCGAAGTATTTTGAATATAGTTCGATTTCAAATACTACTCAATTTGAGACCTACGTGGGACGTCGTCGTGGAGATTAAAAAAAAATTGTTAAGCCTGCCCACCTGTTCAAAAAGAGGATACACTTCGTTGCCACGCCCCGTGGAAGACAGTTGCGTGGCTGTACCAAGTTCAATATGAACCCGAGGAAATATGTGGCCTGTTAGTTTGTCAAGAACCCCCCCCTAAAGATCCGCTATCGGATGCAGCCTCCCATTCTGGCGATTAAGGAGAACGAAATAGGCCAGGACGGGTAACACCCCGTGATTACACGAAAGGCCAGGAGCGACAAGCTACATGATAAATTGATAATAAGCCCACTCTCGACCGAGTCGATCAAGTGGACACCTACTGACCCACAGAGTGAAGCATATTCACCCGGGGACCAAGGTCTACATCTGCCAAGGCTATCACATCTCGATCTCTGTTCGAGCCTAATGAAGAGTGCAACCCACAACCCGACGGGATAAAAGCTGAGTGAAGGTCTATACGCCGCATCGGGGAACTCCCCCTCCCCCATAGGTCGGAAGTCCGGCACAATGTGTGTTTTGTGGGATCATCATGCAAATTCGAGACCTCACTCTACCACACGTCCATCAGTCATTTAAGTAATTGATATATAAAAGGAAATGTGATGTAACAAGGCGATCCCGTTACTTATCATTAATAATAAAATCATGTATATGCGAAATATATCATAATTGACAACAATCTTGATGTTTCTCCCAACAGATTTATATAGAACTATCTTATTACAAAAAATTTAGCACTCTAATGCTTGCTATTTGATACGTGCTATTATATGCAACCATCTTAACGATCAATTACTGCCAGATGCGCTCGTTCAGTAAAAACTGAGTAGCTACAATACACGGTAGTATTTAAACATAAATTTTCACATTTCAAATGAAGGTATCTGTGATAGCTTAATTATATTAAGTGCATGACTCCTCTTTCTTCTTGTAATATAAGTTGTCATTATAAAGACCTGCCTCTTCTTCTGCACGTACCGTGTGCGTGAGGTTTAGGCGCACATACCCACACTGCGATTAAGTAGACACCTTGTAGTGTTTGAGCTCCAGTGTAGAAATTCCATATTTACAACTTGCTTACTCTGATCCAGTGTCGATTAAATTTCGCTGTCAATGCAAGCATTCAGCGCCCCGAAACGCCTCCGCTTCCTTCTTTATACGGCATGTTTGACACTGACATATTCACATCTGCCATTTTATGCTGTCATCATGAATTTAGTTATGCGATCATGCACGATCTTATCTATCTTTTCTTTTAGATTACATTATACGCTAATTAATATGCTTGTTACAAGACAAACGTTTGTAATCTTGACGCGCGTATATCGCCATTCAGTGTCGCAATTAATTTGGAGCTGTAAGACAATATTGTTTATCATAAGTCATGATGTTTTGAAGTTCAAGTACAAACCCACTTACAGGTAAGTTTAGACCTCTACTCGATTCGTTTTATACTGTTAACTTCACCAAGTGGGAAGGGGAGACATGGTCACCACGTTGAATTATAGATACAGCATGACATGTGGGACGAGTAGATATGGACGCCACATTGGACCACTATACTTCGCTAGTTTCGATAACAGGAAATAATGCAGCCCCTGTAGGGACTCACCGTAACTGTGCGCATGTCTTGGACGCAGAGGCTTCTTTACTGTATTGATTCATCTCTTTTGCTTTATCGCAGACCCAACTTCAGTAGCTTTCTGTCCTGCTCCTACCTCTTTATTCAACTAACCATAATGATTCTGACGTTTATTACGATGATGACCGGATCCGATAGATGCCATGTACAGTTTGACGTGTGAAGTGACAATGCCATTATACATTCATGTCAAAGTTTCAACAAAAAAGATTAACTTTAAGCATCATTTTTACTTTTACTTCTACCATTTTTTGCATGCAAGCAACTTGATCAAGATTTTACAAATTTCAAGCCAAGCCGTTTAGTGGCGCTTACAGTTTCTATTGATATACTTCTCCCCATGTGTATTGGTCGACTCAATCGATTTGCTGAACGATAGCAGCTTACTTCTGCTTGACGTCAGCTCCTCGTACGTAATTTCGACCGTAAATGGGGCTATGGAATCCTCATTACGATGAAGATACTGCTGTCTCATGCGTTTCTTAAGCGCGATGATGCGCAGTCCTAAATATACGCTGATATAGGACGAAGTTTTCGCCTGAAAATGGTATATGATTATATTATCGGCTTCTAAAACCCTGCGTCATACATATGTGTGCGGGCTTTTGTATTTGCTCTACGTAAAACAGCGATTTAAACGTTTTCAATAGCTGATTTGTATCTGGCCCTGACGGACAAGTACGTTGCAGCTTTCTATACACCATCGTCCTCTCATGACTGCTCTATGTACGTTATCAGCCAGGCTGGTGTCAGCTCCAATCCACGGCGTTCGTTGACATTTACAAATGCTCACCGTGTTCGCCGCAAAGAATATGACCTATTGCGGAGTGTTTGCATGACAGGTTGTACCGACCCATGTTAGTCAGGGACGTGGCGCCGAAACAGCCAATGATAGAGTGACTACCAATTATTGCGACCCCCTTTCATTATGTCTAATTCAGCTTTTCAATTTACCCAACGAGTATAGTCCGACATCAACAAAATTAAAAACCAATTAGAAATGTTATACTAAATGCCAAAGGGTCGCACACAGCTAGAAAGCTCGCTGTTACCTTTTTATCAATACAATATATATATTTGTTTAACGACGGAATTCTGCAAAACAAGCTACACCAGGTCAGCATCAAGAGGCGTAGACTGAGAACCTCCCATCTAAGCAGACACATCCACATCCACACAGGCGGGCCGACCGCTGTTTTCAGGAAGGCGGCAGTTCCTCTTTAGGTACGCAATGTAGGCCTTCTGATTTATTGCTTTCAAGAAGTGAGCAGTCATGGGATGAGAACCAAGTTCGTCAATCTTCGCTTCCGCTTCAGCCCGGGTAATTTCATCTTCACGCATCCAGGTGCCATAGTTGTCGTCATAGTCCGATTTGGACATGCCTACCGCAAGTTGGTCAAGAAAAACATCCTTGTTCTTTGGAATCCTGAACTTCCTCGAGGGCTTGGAGGTCTCAGAGCTTGATGAGCTGTCGGAGCTGTCGGAGCTGTCCGAAATGTCAAAGGTGATAAAGTTGTCGTCAGACGTGTTGATCTCGGTATTCTCGTTACCAGACGGCGATCCGTTGCTGGCCATGACAGCGGGTTCTGAAGCCGGGATCTCAGGGTCCTCGGCTTCCAAGTGGCGTAGCAAGCGCTGGTGCTTGGGGTTCGTGTCCGCAGCGACCGCGTCGTGGTCGGCCAGCACAGATGATGTCTCACCAGACTTCAGGAGGTTGTTGGACGTCGGAGCGGCGGCAACGGCACTGTCGTAGGTCGCAAGGCAAAGCACCGCCGCCGACACGAGTAGCGAAGGACGCATTGTAGAGGCGAAGGATGGACAGTTGGGCCGGGCGATCGGTATTCGAGACGGCAAATTGGGAAGTGAGATCGACGCTGTTGGTCGAAAGGCTTCGAGCCAAGTCCTCGACGGACTACTGACAGCGAATCTGCCCACATTCGGTGGCCGAGCATTCTTCAAGCTGGGCGGTCGGTCTGGTCCGCTTCTGTTCCACCAATCCCTAATGATAGGTTTTCGAGGTGGATTCTTTCCGTTTCCCGAACACTGTTGGTTGCCGACGACTCAGACGTGGACATGGATGTCCGAGCGAGAGGAAGCCGCTGTCCTGTGCATCGAATGCAAAGCAGACATTGCGATAAGCGTTTCCGTCATTTCTAGTTGCGATCCTCTTTCGCAACCAGAATTAACGGCAGTGCAAGCTGCAAGAGGCGTTACTTGTACTGTGAAGCGAGTCTTGCGTGTGACAATCAACTTCCTTTACCAAGACCTGGCACTCAGGTTCGACTGGCTATGTCCGTGTCCAAAGCGACGTCGCATCTGCAGAATATACGTATCAGTGGCACGAAGTGGTGGTGTCAAGTACGTCCATTATTATGATAACTAACGACTGATAAGTGTGACAAGAAGTACGGCCCGGGTATCGGGTCGACAACTAAAGGGCTCCGTAGAGCCAGGGGCGACGGCAACGAGGTCAGAGACCCTCCTACCGAAGCCAACTACGAGTCAATCATGACCGCTGGCGCGACCAAGTAGACTGGGGACATGCGTACCGCCGGAGCGGCAGCACGTACAACGCGGGTATGCTGCCATATAAGGCAACAAACCCCTTTAGGACCGCTTGCGCGGCCCCCGACGTGGAGTGCGAACACCGAAGTGACTGCGTGGCGTGGAGAACGCCACCCCGCCATATATCTCTCCGAGGAGCTCAACCATCTGCGATGGTGGCTCCCTTCAGCCGCTTGCGCGGCCCCCGACGTGGAGTGCGATCACCGAAGTGACTGCGTGGCGTGGAGAACGCCACCCCGCCATATATCTCTCCGAGGAGCTCAACCATCTGCGATGGTGGCTCCCTTCAGCCGCTTGCGCGGCCCCCGACGTGGAGTGCGATCACCGAAGTGACTGCGTGGCGTGGAGAACGCCACCCCGCCATATATCTCTCCGAGGAGCTCAACCATCTGCGATGGTGGCTCCCTTCAGCCGCTTGCGCGGCCCCCGACGTGGAGTGCGATCACCGAAGTGACTGCGTGGCGTGGAGAACGCCAACCCGCCGTCTATCTCTCCGAGGAGCTCAACCATCTGCGATGGTGGCCCCCTTCAGCCGCTTGCGCGGCCCCCGACGTGGAGTGCGATCACCGAAGTGACTGCGTGGCGTGGAGAACGCCAACCCGCCGTATATCTCTCCGAGGAGCTCAACCATCTGCGATGGTGGCCCCCTTCAGCCGCTTGCGCGGCCCCTTGACGTGGAGTGTGCGCTCGCCGCAGCGGCGACACGTGGCGCGGGGTACGCCTCCAGTCCGTAAAACACCCCTGCTAGGGCCGCTTGCGCGACCCGTCGGTCTCCTACGCCCACACCCGCGACTGCGAGTGCAGCGTGCCCGCGTCAGATCTTCGACCACGTCGGCTCCCCAAGGGGAGGATTCCCTCCGACGTGACTGCCCCGAAGGGAAAAAGACTGGCTTGAGCTGAACCGTGAAAATTTGGGAATGACAGTGGCACGAACAGCGACAGTTTCTTGGAGGCACGTTACAAGCGCTAGTCCATCTTCTGGTCCGAGCCTGGTCAAAGACTAGCTTCGATGGGATTATTGCGACTGTCCTCTGTTGGCCAATAGCCGGGCCGGTCTACTTCTAGTGCACAGTCGTCAACTAACACACAGTCGGGCGTTGCGCCTACTCGTGCAGCATGTCTCAGGCTGGATGGGGCTCGAACACAGCACATGTGCTGAAAGTGAGAAGATCGTCTCGATCGCGCGCAGAGCCAAAAGTGCTCACCGACATACCCCAGTTGCACTGTTGTTTTCCTTAGTGGTCCAGTACGTGCGTGGAAGGGCCAGCCATATCTCTAGCGTAAACGGGACAAAAGCGGTGGCCGACGTCTAAATCTTTACCACTTGAATCGCGATGAAGTAGCTGTGGTGCAAACGACACTGGGTGTGCTATGGACTAGCCCTCTGTGTGCTCTGGACTAGCGTTCTCGCAATTGCTCGACATAGGAAGGGCGGTCGAACAAACCACCGCCTGCGCTGTAAAGGCGGCTTGCAATGGCAGTAGTCCCGGAGTCGGCGCGCATCTACTTGGCCACGCGGCTGTGTAGAGCACCAGGAACACATTCAGCACAGTGACCGGCTATCGCGCACCTGTCAGTCCATCACCTGGTGCCACTTCTTTATTGCCACGTGGTTCGTATAGGGTGTGCAGGAAGAACTCTTTCTACTCGTCTGTCATAGTCGTCCTGGTTGATCACTTCATTCGCTGAGCGGATTGCAGGCCTGCTGCAATCGTCATGATATTGCTGTCGTTTTATGAGAATATCTTATGGTCTACCAAAACCTCTTCATTGCGGACGTCGATAAAGACAAGGCCATCGGCTCTAGCGTGCGCGTTTCGATGGCTCAATACGTATCAACGCAGGATATCACCTTCTTGTACGATGCCGATAAAGGCGACGATATCGGCAGCGTATAGAGTGCTTCCACAGCCGCTTGACGTGTATCATGCAGGGCGCTGTCTCACTGTATATTGTATATCGTGTTAGCTCTAAATCTCGAAAAGTCGATGATGCTGCAGTTATCATTACGTTTGATGTCAGTGAACATGTCGAGACAATAGGTTGACGTAAGGACAGAACGCACTCATTGTTTGTACTATTCATACGCATGAAAAACACCTGGCGCCATTGACGAGAAGGATGAGGGTATGATCAGTGGGGATGGCCATCACTTCCGCTGCTAGCAAATGCGTTTCTCTCCTCTCTAGAATATGCCTCAGCCGATGTCTAGGACTCGTACGAAAGTGCTGCCAACCTCGTCAGTCCTCAGCTTCGGAGTGATACGACCTATTAATCTCGTATGAACGCCAATAAGCAAGAGCGCAAGAATAGGACAAAGAGTGAGGCGCGACTACTGTGTTACGCCACTGACGTGATCAAACCTGCTGATGCGTACCACCATCATATAAGCATCGCTTTCTCGTCGGTACGGTTAGGCTCAATCGATACCTACTGATATTGTAATTACTAAACCAGTCACATGCCCCTGCACGTAGTTTGCTTAGCGGTATGGCTTCTCGGTCCATCCCCTGCACTGATTGTATCCACCAAAGATTTTGCGTGTTGATAACACGTGCAGTTCCACTTACGAGTGCAATGGCGGGGTGAGACAGTTTCATGTCATTAATATAAGAGAGAATGAAATATGCCCCAATTAAGCACGAAAACAAAGAAATGCCACAGAAAATCGGAAGATAAAAAATGCCCCTCGTCCTAGTATACTCAAGATAATGTAGTACACATAAATCCACACGTCCTTTATCATTTTCGTGTTCCCATTTTACGGCCGTGACCAACCCCCGCCCTGTTTGGGAAGCCGCGGAGACGGTTCTGCCGCGGGCGTGCTGCGCTTGTAGCCATCAGTTGCAGGCGCAGACGCGAGTTATGAGGACATAAACACAGTCAGTCGGTGCTACTTCTATTGATATTAATGTCATTGCTTTTGTTGTTGTTTCAGTTGCTATTGTTGATGTTGCTACTGCTGTTGCTGCTGCTGTTGTTGTTGCAGGTGCTTCGGTTACTGCTGTTGTTGCTCTGGTGATTATGCTACTTCTGCTGCTGTTGTTGTAGGTGCTGCAGTTGCTATAATTGTTGTTCGACTTGTGGAATCGCATTTCCGCGCTCATCGGCGTTTATGCGTCAACGTGGCCCGCCGACGCTCGCCGTGTTCGTTCCGACGCCGGGCGAAGTCTGAGTCGCAGTCGGAATCCGAGTCGTAGTCGGAATTCGGGTCGTAGTCAGGATTCGAGTCGTAGCCGCATCAGCCGGAGATGCCGCAGATGACGATACAGTCGCGTGTGGCGGAGATAAAGGCACGAGATGCAGTCGTTGCAGTGGATAAAGTTGCGTGCACGAACGTCCGCAACACGCGCGTGCTGGTGCTCAATGACGGACAGTGTACGTGTGCGTCTGTGTCTGTAGCAAGAATACTTCCTGAAAAATTATTAATTTTTGTCACTTTTTTTAAAAAATTAATTTAAAAGTCTAATTTAAAAATTATCCCATCAAAATTTGCTTTCGTCAAATTTTTCTTAGGGGCCGTTTCACTCTATAGGACGAGAATGCTGCTGCTCCTACCGAGCTGCGGTTTAGACTAATGACACGTTGTAGTATAACGATGGGATTTAAGCAACTTGCACCCTGAATTGCTAGCATTTACTGTGAGGGGTTCGAGTAGGTTGCATCGCGCCCATATAAATTGCGTTGAGGACCATCATAACTAGAACCAGAACTTGTATCGATGTGCTGCGCTTGAGTTAATTGAAGTGTGGCTGCATCATAATTCTGCTTTGTGTGTCATATGAAGTTGACTTAACTAGGACGTGGGGCATATTTAAATTCTAAATATCTGGGGCATTTTTTACTTTCGTGATTAAATGGGGCATTTTATAATTACTCCCACTCTAAACGTATATTAATGTGATTATTATCCTAGTTGGTAATAATCATATATATTACCTGGCCAAAAATTTTTTGATGGGTTAATACTTTTACAGGTAATATTTAAAGCCGATCCCACTAATTGGTAGATACAACCCATGATACTAACTAAATTATCAACCAATGGATGCTAGACGCGCGCAATACGTGGTAAGCGAGCAACTTATATAAGAGAGTATAGTTTAATATCGTCAAAGTAAAACAAAGAAGGTTATTTTAAAAAAACATAACCTTATGAGAATACAGTTGTACTTTTACCACACTGTGACCATCCTTTGCTCAGCTCTCTTCCTCGTGCTTTCTCAACTCTCACG